CAGGTTAATAATCATAACCGGTGGATCGATTTCCATTTCACAATTTTGCTTCGACAAATAAGCCGATTCATAAATTTCGGAAAGCTTTTTCGAAATATCGTATGGGATTTCTTGACTAATGTCTAGAAGTTCATTTGTTTTAAGCGAAGAATTTACATAATTAATCGACATAAATGAATTCATCACACTACTTTCTGTTTCCTCATTCGATTCTAAATTCATTGCTTTTATTACTAATTTTTTGGCTTCACAGCGTGACGTAAAATCACGACCCAACAACGCAGCATGGGTCATTGTCTCATCAGGCACCACTAGAAAACGAGTCTTTAATATAGATCCATTAATTTTTACATTTGTTTCAAAACGACCTAAGATATTCAAACGAGAGCCATTAATACCGAACAAATTATAATCTTGTGATAATTGTGTTCGTAAATTGACAGGAACATGTTTGCTTTTAATTAAACTAATCGGGGAGCCTGAATCAACAATTGCCATTATTAACAATTGACGAAACGTTGGAGAATCCCTGTCTTTCAATGAGAATTCTAACGATAATTCATAAGGTGGAACCAAATTAATTTCATTATCAGAACATAACTTATCTTTTTTTCCGTTGTCGTTGGATTCACCTTGAACCAGATGTGTCGTTTTCTCGTCACTCCTTGGTCGTCGCCTTGGACAATCGGCGATTTGATGTGTAGTACCTCCGCACTCATAACAGGATCCCTTTTCTCTTTTCGGCATTCTGATGCAAGATGACCCGGTTTGTTACAGTTGTAACATCGCGTAGAGCTCCTCTTCTCCTTAGTCGTCAACATCGTCCCTTCCGCTTTCGGTTTGGTTGATTTGACTTCCGTTAATGAGCTCTTTGTCTCATACTTTTTCTGCAAGGATATTTTCTCGAAACCTTTCAAAAGATCAGCTGTAGAATCAAACCCGTACATCTGAGCTTGTGTTCTTATATTTGTGTCCGGTATTCCTTCAATAATATAATCAATTAGTTCGTCTTCGGGTATCAACGCGCGGTTACCAAGAATAACTTTATCATGGTGATAATCACTAAACGGTTCCGCCGGTGACCAAAGACGTTTCTCGAACTCGCGGCGCAGCGCTAATTTATTGGGCCGCTGATCAAACATAACCTCCATTTGACGTTTCAATTCGTCGACACTTAAAGAAAAATGTTCCGGTTTTGAGTGAAACCATTCTAGCGCGCGACCTTTCAACTTTGAGCTAATTAAAATTTTTGTTGCCTGGTCATCCAGATTGTAACTTTGGCGAATTAATTCCAATCTCTTACTCCACGCATCGAATGTTTTTTCGGAACCCGTAAAATCATTCAGCAATTCACCTAGTGCTTTTAATCCAACGTTCGGTAATGACGGTCGTACCCCGAGAACATTGTTTTCATCAATCTGAACTCTTGACGAACGTAACCCCTGCACTTCGCGTTCTAAAACTGCTTTTTCCCGTTCCAATACTTCCCTTTCACGACGCAACAAATCTAATTCGCGCCTTAAGATCGACGCTTCGGATGTTTCTAAATTATTCGCGACCGAAACAATAGATGCCACGGACGTCGATAGAAGTTGTGGAGAAGGAGTGGGTGCCATCGTTGTCAATTGAGATTCTTGACCATTAACTTGCGAATTAGATTCTTCGGTGTTCGACTCTCCTCCTGAAGATAAACCCGACGCGTTTTGCCAAATTGATGGATCAAAATCACTTAATTCTTTAATTGACGAAATTTTAATATATGACGAAAATGGCATTAGTTTATCATCAATATAAACTTTTACCTTCTTATTATGAAAAACTGCAACCCTTTTTCGGATGTCAAAATTATTCTCAACTCTTTGAAAACCAAAAAAGGTATCATTCCCTCTCGTGAAACACCACTTATCACAAGGCAGAGTAACATAGTTCAAACTATTTCTCAATTCAGGAAAAGTTATTTCTTTTTCTACATTGATAACGACAGTTTCATTTAAATTAATGAATGATGAGTTAACCTAAGTTAAAGAGAACATATAATTGTGTTAAATATGTTTTTCATTATTTGTTAATATTAACAAAAACTAATTTAATTTTCAATGTACAGGATTATGTATTTTTATACATATTTATAGGTTATAATATTCATTTTCACAATTATAAAATAATACTACTTACTGTGATAATGTTAGGGTTCATGGTTGATATTATCTTCTTACAAAACAAACGTTTTTATTATTATGCTTAAAATTATTAAAATATTTACAACTGGGTTAAGTAAATAAATGAATATTATGACATTTCCACGACATTTCACAACACTGGCAATAGCTTGCTGTCTATAGTAGCAGATGACTTTTTAAAGGAAAATCGACAGTTTCGAGAGTTTTCCCGTTAGAGGCGCCAGCTCTGCCTATTAGAGTTTTCCGGAACGACGTTGTAACGAATGGGGACATTTTAGATTTCAAAGTGAAGACTCCTTATTCTTACTTCGTGGAGACGTCACAATTCGTCTCACAAAACGCTCACAGCGCCACGCAAGCAGTAATGCATAGGCGTCGCAAGTGAGCAAAAATTCAAATACTAATGTTATTGTATTCGATAAGTCAAAGTAAATTTATGATAATTTAAACATTTTAATACAAAAAAAGTAACAACATACCAAGTCTTACGTATAAAAAAAGTAAAACATAAATTATGACATTTATTTTTAAAATATAAATAGTGTTAAATTTAAGGTTATTATCCGCGACGATTTTGAAGAACTAAAAATTTAACATTTATGCATAAATAATAACAATTAAATTGCTTCGACCAAAAATTTTATTTTTCCTACTCATTTGCACATTAAATATAAACAAATAAATGCAATACAAGTTTAAAAAAAGTTCTTGGATATCAATTAATTTTCATAAAAACTATAATGGCGCTACGATTTTGAACTAAAAACTGAACACATAAATAATAACAATTAAATTGCTTCGACCAAAAATTTTATTTTCCCTACTCATTTACACATTAAATATGAACAAATAAATGCAATAAAAGTTTAAAAAAAGTTCCAGGATACCAATTAATTTGATTTGATTATATTTAATGTATAAAACAAATAGAAAAAACAATACTTTTGATCATAGTAATTAATTAATTAGAGTAATTAATTTCTTCATAAATATTCAATTTTTAGTTCAAAACCATAGTTTTTATGAAAATTAATTGATATCCTAGAACTATTTTTTAAACTTTTATTGCATTTATTTGTTTATATTTAATGTGAAAACCAGTAGGAAAAATAAAATTTTTGGTCGAAGCAATTTAATTGTTATTATTTATGCATAAATATTCAATTTTTAGTTCAAAATTGTCGCGCCGCGAAATGTTTTTTTAAAAACAATTAATATCCTGGAACTTTTTTTATTTTTTATTGCATAAATATGTTCTTACTTAATGTGGAAATAAGTAGGAAAAATAAAATTTTTGGTTGTCACAATTTAATTGTTATTATTTATGCATAAATTTTCAATTTTTTGATCAAAATAGTTGCGCCAAAACAGTTTTTATAAGAATTAAGTGATATTCTAGAATTGCATAAATTTTTTATTATTTAATGTAAAAATTAGTAGAAAAAATAAAATTTTTTGTTAAAATTACGTAAGTATTAATTATGCATAAATGTTAAATTTTAATTTTACTATAGTTACGCATAATATAATCTTAAATATAACCCCCTTACTAATTCAAAAATAAATGTCATAAATTATGTTTTACTTTTTTTATAGATAAAAGTTGGTATATTGTTAGCTTTTATGTGTTAAAATGTTTAAATAATCATATATTTAATGATTTATCGAATATAATTACATTAGTGTTTGGATTATTGCCCGCTTGCGATGCCTATGCAATATTGCTTGCATGGCGCTGTGAGCGTTTTGTGAGACGAATTGTGACGTCTCATACTTCAGCTACATTTAGAACTTGCCTGTGACAGTTTACCTACATGATTTTTCAACAGAAGAAATACAACATTGAAACGTTATTAAATATAGAAACATTTTATCAAAAATAGAAGTGATGTAATCGAGAGATTAATTAATATTTTATTATTATTTATATTTTTCTCGAAACTCACAAAAGTAGACTTAAATAAGTTCTAAAAGTAACCTCAAATTTAAGTTAACTATAGTTAACTATAGTTTTGATCCGGAGTATGCGAGATAAGTACATTCTGCACTATATATGAAAGTTAGTTAACTTCTAAAACATTTTTTACTTATACATACGTTTGACTTGGGGTGAACGAAATGTAATCGTATTATTCAACTAACAATAAATTAAAATACATCTCTATAATAACGTTTCTCAAAATGATATTTTTCAAATTTGCGGAACGTCTAAATAAAACAATTATTTACCAATCACTATGAAAATTGGTAGTTTTATTCTTTATAAAATTACGAAATATATGAACCAACATTTCAGGAGATATCACGATGTTAAGGGCTTCTTTTGCATAATTATTGAAAAAAATGATAAAAATTGCAATAAATTTTTCAAACACCTTCACAATTTTCAATATTTTCACCTGAATCGAGCTTAATATTCTTAGAAAATAAGTTAAAAATGTAAAAAAAATTTTGGTATTAGATAAAAATTAAAATTGCAACATGTCCCGAAAGTTGAGAAAAAATATCAGGAAAATCAGCAATTACCACTTATTTCTTGACAAAATTAGTCAAAAAAATGTAGAAAGATTGTTCAAAAGCATAATAAAACGATGACCAAATGTCACTGAATTTTAATTGATTCTCCCCACAAAAAAAATCCATAAAAATGAGCCTCCTAATGTGGTTTGCCCCTTAAACTCCCGGTCAAAAAAAAAAGTTTAAGAATGTTTCAAGGGACTATACTGATCGAAAAATGACTATTATTATAAACTATCAAAGACAGGTGGAACAATTATTCAATAATAATAAATATATTTTATACTAAATATAAGAAATTACTTGAATACTTTTGATCAATCAGTTGAAGAATTTGCACGTAAGGACTTGGATTAAACCGATCATTTTTAAAATGTCGGTCTTCAGCACTCATAGGTCTATATAATAGTTGTATTGGATATAATCTACCAGGTACCTATTACAACAATAAGAATAATATAACAGATATATGATGTATAATATTTTTATATGGGGTAAAATTCCTGTAGCGTATAATAAGTGAAAAAAGTTGGTCAGATGAGGCTGTAATTTGCAACCCTTTTTTAAATCAAAAATTTTTTTGACTTTTTTCAAAATCAGTAAGTTTTGTTTTGTTTTTGAAATTTCTTTTATAAAGTTTAAAATGTTTACTTTCAATACAAAAAATATGAAAATTTCCTTCTTTTTTGTTTTCGAGATAAGCCATCAATCAAAAGCTGTCGTAATTCCGCCTCCAACAAACCTAATATGATTAATTTTCGATAAGTCGGTTTTTTATAATCAATTAATTGTCATTAGGATTGTTTATAAAAAATCTATTGAACAGAAATATATCATATTGTACTCGTTGGATACAGAATTTTGTTAACTTTCATTTGGTAACGTCAGAAATGCAGTAACTTTATTTGTTTATAATTATAATATATTTAATTTCTTTTATTTACATAAATAATTAATTAATTAATATCTGGGATATTACCAAAAAACGAACAGGTCAACATTTTTTTCATCTTATTGTTTAAAAGTCATAACTCTTAAAATTCACTGTTCACATTTTTCAAAAAAATTCAATCCCTAACTCACTCGATCCGACCAACTTTTTTCACCTAGTACGCTACACGAATTTTATCTGTATATAGTTATAGTTATACTTACTTGAATGATTTTTACATTTTCTTTTGCAAAGTAATCAGAAAAAAGTTGAATATTAATTGTAGCAGACATCAAAACTAATTTCAGATTTGATCTTTGATGAATGAGACACTTCGTAATGCCCAATAAGAAATCTCCGTACAAGTGACGTTCATGTATTTCATCCAAGACAATAACGTCATATTGTGATAATCCTGTTTCGGCTGATATCTATTTTAAATTATAAGATTCATTTTATCCAAAGTAAATTCTTATTAAAAAATAAATCTAAATATATTTATAATTTAGCTATAGCTAAATTATAAATAAATTTAATATCTTTTAAGCAATGTATATATCAATATAATTATTATTTATGTATATTTTAATTAATAACTGAACATATATTGCAAAGGCGTACAAACCTGCCTTAAAAGAAGCCCTTCTGTTATGAAAGTAATTTTGGTTTGTTGATTTCTTTGCTTTTCAAATCGAATTTGATAACCCACTTCATTATAGTTCTCTGACAAAGTTTCAAAAGCAACACGTTTGGATAAAGATATACACGCAATTCTGCGAGGTTGTGTACATGCTGTTAAGATAAAGTAAACTTTTAATGTATCTTATAAAACATGACAATGGATATAAATGTTGCAAAATATATATGAAACTAATAAAGAACTTGCCTATTTTTCCAAAGCCATTCATAGATAAATATTGAGGAATTTGAGTTGATTTACCACAACCCGTATCTCCAGCTATTATTATAACTCTTTCGGATTCGATAACATCAATAATTTTTTGTCGATATTTAGCAACAGGTAAATTTTCTTGTTCGTGTCGCAACTTTTTAAGTTTTGAAAATTTTTCTTTCTGTTTAAAACCCAAATACATAAGAACAATATTTATAAATTTACATAGCCGGTTATCTGTTAAAACATCAGAACTTCCAACTCTGTCCAACAATTGTTTTTCGCAAACAAGTGAAAAATTTAAACTGTATGTAATATTGTAAGATAAAGGAATGTGAAGTTTATTAGAAGCACTTGAATCTGCCATTTGATTCATTCCATCTTTTTTTTCTTCCAAAGCTTCATATTTTTGGACAAATTTCCAAAAATCATCATTATTATTTATTAGATTTTCATTCACACGGAGTAAATTATTTAATTCATGTCGATATTTTAGAAAAGAAAAAAGGGCATCTTCTTTTTTATACTTTTTTCCATCCTTTTGTGCTTTGAAACGTTTCTTTTCACGATAAGATAAATTATCTTCATCATTTGATGTCCTACGATGAGTTTTCCTATGTGATGAACGCATCTAAAATTTTTTTAATATTTTGTGTAAACAAATTATGTTTTTTTAAAGTAAAAACATAAATAAAGTTACACTACCATTGGATATTGTCGGTACGTTTGACGTGCGAGATGTGAAAATTTGATGCTGACTTTTAAAAGAAAAAGAAAAAAGTTAGAGACTTTTAACTTAGATGGTTGGAAAGCTGGTAAAAATCTGAAAAAAAAAATTTCTACTTTTTTTTAGCATTTATAACACCGAAAATATTTTAAGAAAAAATTATGCAATTTTCCTACTTTCGTACTAATGTTTTTGACTCCTGACATAAACTAGAATAATGTATGGAAAAATTTGACAATTTTACAATATAATCTTTAAGGTAATTTTAGCTTTAATTTGCATTCGTCAAAATTAAAAAATGTTTTGTGGTTCCTGAAATATGTTAAATGTTTGAGCATGTTTTTCTACCCAGACGCAGATTTTTATCAGCTTTCCAACCACGTCAGCCGTACCGATAAAATAGAAACAATTAAAAATCAAAAATTATTTTTTAAGAATGTAGCAAAACTAAAAAAAACCTCTTAATATACATAGGGAAAGTGAGGTACAGCCTACGGCCTCCTAAAATTTTTATGCCAAAAAACTTTTTGTTATTGTTATTAATAATTTTATTTTTATGTAATCTGAAATAAAATTTTTTTTCTCGAGTTCCAATTGACCGTAGAGAAAATTAAAAAAAAATGTTTGATAGTATTTAGTTCAATTTCGTAGCTGTAGATAGTGCTTTTAAAAAGGTACTTTTTTAGTGTACTTGATTCCGGACAACCCGTAATATATTAATTCAAAAGGGCATCTCTTCATAAGGGTTTATTCTAGACAATTAACCTAAAAAAATTTTAAAATGTTTTTTTATTTTTTATGTACATTTTTCTCAAAAAATCGCAAAAACGCCGCGTTTTTGGGGCAATTTACTTCTGTTTAAAAAAACAGGGGGCAGAAATATGATATTTTAAATTGTATTTTAAATGGTACATTTTAGAAGGTAATTCCCATCAAGATAAAGTGACCAACCAAAATTTAAACAATGTGAACTCAGTGGTTAAACCTCCACAATACAAGGATACCAATAACAAACAAAATTGTCCTATATTCATACAAATGAACAATAACTCTCTAGAAGCTGATAAAGATCTTCACAGCATGTGCGTTGGAAAAATTTTACATAGTTTATATCTAGGTAAGGTAGTGAAAATTAAATCCAGTGGTCGCGGAAAAGTTAAAGTTGTATTAAATTCGGAAAAAGCTGCTAACAATCTTGTTACAAATGGCATTCTAAAATCGAAAGATCTTATTGCTGTCATTCCTGACAGTTTCGTAACTTGCCAAGGTGTGATCATCGATACTTCGAAGACTCCAGTCGAGGAAATCCTCCAAAATATTGAAACTTTGGGTCCTCATAAAACGAATATCAAAATTACTAATGCCATTCGATTTAATCGGAGAACAACAGATGAACCAGAAAGTTCCAAGACTTGACAGATGTTCCGACACCTTCAAACCCATTCATCCCAGAACAAACTCTTAAACAAAGCTCCTATTCCACCACACTCTCTACATCCAAAAAACAACGGACTTAACCTTCATACCGTACATCTCGACCACATATTTCTTCAAGCTCCAACTTTTACGCAATTCAATGTAGTAACGATAAATCTCCGAGTCACCTCCCAAACGGCTTTGCCTTATCAACCACACTAACTGATCAATCATCCTTTTCAAGTGTTTCCTCTCCATAAACGTTTAGTGATCCTCTGAAGTAAATTTTATCAATGCTATCAAATCTAATGATCTATCATCCAACTATACCCCTGAAAAACTCAAAAAAGACCATGATACTCTCCAACAAATTTTTAATATCATTTCCTCCCTTTTGGATTCCTTAACCACAAATAATGGCTATAAACTCACTAAACATCTTGCAATGTGATGTTCATGACGTCTCAAACAAGACACATGACATTCAAAAATAACATGAAAAAATCTATTTAACTTTTGGCCATTTCTCTATATTCATTGGCGGAGATTTTGACTGTCATCACACTCTTTGGAACAATTTGTATATATGCAGCAATAATATTCTCTATCCGAATAATATGTCAGAACACATTTTTTTTAAATTTTTGTGCTCGATAAAAGTTAGTACCTTATTTGATTGAAATATTAATTACAATTTCATGTTTTTTTGTGTTAATCTACAGAACTATTTTAATAATGTTATAGAACTTTAAAACTATTATTATCCTACTCAGAACTCACAATCAGTATACACGGAAAGAAATCTTGTTAGAATATTTAATATTTTGACACTCATATTTAGAATATTAAATTCAATTCAATTATTTTTGTAGACCAATTATATACATAAGTGTTTATTTCATGTTTTGAAATTTGTGGCCTTAGGTCTTTATTAAGAGAATTACGTTATTTTCAATATGTCAAAAATTTTGTTAAATTATTTATTTTCAAATTTTTTTTTGTCTATGTATTTCACCATGAACATGGATCTTCAGGACTAGAATTACAAAAACAATTTTTTATGTCATTATAATCAAACACAAAGTCTCATCTATAATTTTAGTACGTACCGCATATAATTTTGAATAAGTTATATTTAGAATAAGAACGAAGTTTTTAGAATAAAAATCTGTAAAAACAATTATGTTATTAACTCAGTATATGTTCCTAGACATATTCCATATATGAAACAATTTAATTTGTTTAAAAAAATATATAGCAGCCAGACTTTGTTATAAAAATTCGATTTTTTTTACAAAAAAAGTTGATTTAAAAAATATTAAGAGGGTAGAAAACGTCTATATTTTGGGGGGGGGCCGTGAAATATGTCCCCAAATATATTCGAAACATTGAACAATTTAATTTGTTTAAAAAAATAATAAGCAGCCAGACTTTATTCTAAAAAATTAGATTTTTTCCCAAAAAAAGTTTATTTAAAAAAAATCTAGGGGGGAAGAAAACGTCTATATTTGTGAGGGGCACTCAGTATATGTTCTTAGACATGTTCCATATCACTGTAAACTTGTTGTATCATTTTGGAATGCAACGTTTTGATTCGATATAAGGTATCAAATTGATCCAAATATTTGGATCATTTTCAAGAAATGATCCAGAATATGGGATCATTTTTTGATACCTGAATTGGTATCAAAGTATAACTGTCATGGCTGGCATTCTCTTATTGACAAGTTTATTAATTAATTTATTCACTACACTGAATATTAAGATATTAAAAATACTTTTATTATGAATTTTAAGAAAGAGAGAAGCGAAAACTTATAAATTGGGAGCAATTAAATAAGAAAAAATTTATTTCGAAATAAAACGAAATACACTAACCTTTATTTATGTTTATCACATAAGATTTAAGTTAAGTTCACAACACTTGAAAATTTTTAATTATTTTTGTGGTTAAAATAATTATCAATGATTTATTTATTATAAATAAACAAAATTTAAGTCATGCACGCTTGATAAATATTTCTAATCCGTTGTCAATTAATGCAATTAATAATTTCTTATTACACAATATCATAATCGACATATATGACATTTGTAAACAAACAAGGTTGGGAAACAAGAGCCCAAAATATGTTCGTCCATAATTAGTTCGATGGAAATTGACATAAAATGTAGAATAATTCCTAGTAGGTCTTGAAGGAACACAAAATTTTATTAATGAAAGTATCGCAGGACAGTTCATGAAACCATTGAGAATTTTAAATAAAAAAAGCAAATCATTGTATCTAAATCTAGATTCAACCTTAGGAAGACCTAAGTTAGATCGCAGGTCATCGTAGTTATGTGAGAAAAAATCAAAGCTGATACCGAGCAGTCTAGCCGCGAAACGTAAAAAACGATTTTGAACTCTTTCAAGCCTAATGATGTGAATGAAATAATAGGGAAACCAAACAACAGATGCAAATTCGAGAATGGATAATACATAAGAGAAGTAAAGTACCTTAAGAGATATTAAACTCTTGAATTCTGACGCATTTCTCAAACCCAAGGATCGAAGGGCCTTATTTACTGTAAAAGATATGTGCTCCGTAAAAGTTAAATCAAAACTTAGTATGACACCCAGATCTCGAATTTTTGTTACACGATTGAATACAGAATTGTCAATAGCATAATTATGATGTATTATAACTTTTTTTTTGAAAATGTGATTACTGAACACTTATTTATATTTAGAAAAAATTTGTTTTTTGAACACCAATTTTAAAGACAATCTATATAAGTTTGAAAATCAGAATAATCCTTGTGTGAATTAATAATTATATAAAGTTTCAAGTCATCTGCAAAGAGAAGAAATTGAGAAAATTTGAAAGTATGCTTGGTATCAATAATATATAAAAGAAATAAAAGAGGACCTAAGGTCGATCCTTGGAGAACACCAGATGTAGCAGTGATCGTACACGGAGAAAATAGGGTAATAAAAACAAAGTAAAAAATGATAGGGAGTTTGGTATAATTCTTTGACAGCATGGGAAAAATACTCGAATTCTATGCAAAAAGGAAATTTTGTATATAAAAAGAGTTACATAGTAGAAACTCTAACTTTGAAAATTTACTTGACGTTTATATTACAATTTGTGTTACACTTGGAGAAATTTAAAATGCTTGATGTGATTTTGTGCTTCTTAAATTTAACAATTTTAATTATACATACTTTCGTATAAAATGCGGTTTACAAACAATAAAATATTATAGAAAATAAAGCAAACAGTCCCAAATAAAGAGGAAAAAGTCAAATCCATAATGCTACAAAATGCATGTAGTATAGACAATTATTTCCAAAGTAAGTAAATGAAGATTTGCAGTGCATTGCTTGAGAAAGTGCTTTGCAGCATAAGAATATTTGCTCGTCAGGTAGGCGCTTATCCCCCATGTTTTTGAAGTAAGTTTTCCTCGATAGGTCTATCAAAAAATGTCTTTATATTATGTACTTTGTGTGAAATCAAACATAGTGAAAATAATTTTTCTCTTAGCAATTTTGACGATTATGAAAAGGATTAAATGTACTTCCGAAAGTATATTTCACATGTTGTATAAAGCAGTAAATATTTTAATTTAACTGTGTATTTTTACAAAAAGAATATAAATATATACTTATTCTGAACTTATTTTTACCCAAAAATTTCTTGAAAAATCATTATGAAATAGGGAAAATTCAATATGTTTAAATAAAAACGTTTTGTGCATCGTGTAACGACGCAGGGTCCATGATGTGTCAACTAGTTGTGATCGACATCTCAATTATATTTCAATATAATTCCAAACAAGTTTATTTTAATATTTTCGAGAAATCTCGATACCGTCGCTTTGCTTAATTCTCCCTGTGACAATAAAAGCGTCTTAACCATTGATGCAGGGTTGGCTTCAGGCCAAATAGTAAAATTCAAAGCCTTAAAACTTGCCCTGTTGACCGTTTCTCTTTTCCGTCCTTGTCTAACTCAAATGCTTCTATAAAGCAACGTAAACTGTAGAGAAGGACGAAATTATTTTATAATAATTTTAATATTTATGCAAGGTATTTACTTAAATACTTTGTAAATATATCAGAAAAAATTAGTGAAAATTAAAGAATTTTCAATATGGAAGTAGAATTACTTTTTTGTCAAGAATATGAATTGAAATGATTCAAAGATTAATTTTTCAAAAGTTATGTTAAAAAAACTGATTCGCTCCATTGACTTCAATGCGTTGCATGTCTTCCGACAAGCCGCCATTTGGAAAAGTGACGTCACGCTACGTCACAAGTTGGACTTCCTTATAGTAGATGAAATATATGAAAAAGTTCATTGATGCAATCGTAAAGTATAAGATTTAAGAAATATTCACTTTATTACTCCTACCATTTCGGATAACACAGTAACTGCATGCTTTAAGTTATTTGTGTAGACACTTTTAAGATACATGAAACATCTTATTCTTATAGACATTTGAAATACCTCACTGGTTGCGTGAATGGTAACTGCGCATGACACTATTGTTAATTTCATTTACTAAAATCCTTTCATAAAAATAAATTATTGAAAATAAATAAATATATATTTGAGTTGAATTTGAATTCAATAACATAATTGTAATGAGTCAAATAACTCTAACGTACGTCAAAGAATCAAATATTTGAGTGCGGAATAAATAATAGTTCTCTAATAATCATTTTTAAAAGTTGTCGCATCTTGAAGAATTTTTCATTAAAAATATACTTTTAAGAATATGTTGAAAATTAGTACGTATATTCATTGTCTGCATTATTCATTAATTTTGGAAACTCAAAACGATTTTTATTAGGGTAGTTTAGAGTAAAAATAATAAAAAAATTTCATTTTGATTATTGCATAAAATAACAATATCTTCGGTTGTACAATATGCCTTACTTCACAAAACTTTTTTGTCAACATGATACCGACCTTCATTAAGCAGGCAGTAACTGCCCATCCAAGTTAGCCCTTTGAGGGGAAGCAGTATACCCCCACTCTACCGGCCGGGACCGAACTAATGCATTGAGCAGTGTTCTCGGGCCTAATTACATTTTATATTTATGGCCCCTAATGAGTTTTTCATGAAAATTATAAAATTTTTTAATATTAACAATTTTTAATTTTTTTAACATATTCACATTCCATAATTTCACGATTACGAGCATGTGTTGTCCCAATTAAAAATGTTAATATTTAAAATGTTTATAATTTTTATTAAATTATGTCGCCTGAATCCCCCAGTATCGATATAGTCATGATCCCGAATAACTTTTTTAATAAAAATTAAATATTTTCAAATATCAACATTTTTTCCCCTCATTTTTTTGCGATTTAGACATAATTTTTTTTTTAAATGTTGAAATTTAAAAAGTTTTAATTTTTTTTAATCACAATTTTTCTAGGCTTAGGACACACACCAGTCCTAAGCCTGGAAAAATTGTGATTAAAAAAAATTAAAACTTTTTAAATTTCAACATTTTTTTAAAAAAAAATTATGCCTGAATCGCAAAAAAAATGAGGGGAAAAATGTTGATATTTGAAAATATTTAATTTTTATTAAAAAAGTTATTCGGGATCATGACTAGATCGATACTGGGGGATTCAGGCGACATAATTCGAAATCACCTCAGGTTGTTACCTGAGGTGATGAGGGTAGTTGATTCTACCCCTGAGACAGGTAAATTGTTATCTGATGATATATTTAGACATAAATATGTCTAAACAATCCTGAGCCAGACAGTTGCTTCAGACACTTATACAATTGCCCAAAGCTAAATAGTTCCGTACGGTAATGTTGCATGCTTATTCCTCGGATAAACTCAGTTACCTGAAGAGGTAACGATGACGATTTTGTGGAAAGTTGTCAGTATCGTATTGTACTTGCCTGAAGAAGTACACCTCATCGGAACGTCTAATTCCAGTATCAAGTTTTTTGCCTTTTGATTTCCTTACTATTTTTGTGCATTAAAAAAGTGAAGTTTCCATTTTAGACAAAAGTGTACTTAGTGTATGTTTTTTTAATTAACACTACTGTCAATTAAGGAAGAATGTGCTAGGACTAAATATACTTTTATTTTCTAAATACAATAATATATAACTAGTATAGAACCTTTTAATCTAAAAATTATTATTGCATTTTTGATAATTGTTCATAATATTTTTTGTATTTATCGTGGGATTTTAAAGTTTGAGTTTTGTTGAAATTATTTTGAGAACTATGGCTTCGAATGATTCATTGGGTGAGATATTGGTTGAGAGCCAAAGAATTATCGATGATGGCTTGCCATATAATAGACAAAGATCAACATTTGACAATTGTCAAATACTACTATCAAATAGTGATACAGCAATACCTTCAACTTCAAATGTTGATCCACTTAATAGCAATCGTATCGATCCAGCACAAACTTTTCCAGTTCGGCTTTGCTTAATAATAGCACTGATAATAGATTTACTTTCAATCCTCAAACTTCTACGCATTTGATTGTCAATAATTCGACCAAGACAGTATTATCAGGATCCACTGTTCCAGTTTCTTCTATCTGTAGTATTAGTCCTCAAATTTCTACGCATTCGATTGGCAACAATTCGACTACGACAGTTTCATCAGAATCCACTGTTCCAGTTTTATCTCTCTCTGGTATTGACAGAATTGTTTCCAGAGTAGAAAAAGCTACTGGCGAGGGGCTGTTCACTGAAAATCCAATTGAACAATATTGGAGAATTCATTAAAGATTTTTAGGACTCGTACGTATTCGGCTTCGGATTCGAATGGAATCGCACGGACTCGTTGATATTCACAGTATTTTCACAAATTCCTTCTTTGCGCTGCTTCGTGTTGCAGACTAGATAATAATAATAATAATAATAATAATAATAATAATAATAATCGGCTGCCGCCGAATTCGCTCGTATTTCTCCGTAACCATTCGTGACTCGCAACAATTCTTACTGCATGACTTAGGATTTTACTGTAATCGACGAGATTTGTTGGATTCGCATAGTATTCGACAAATTCGAACGTCCTTTTCAGTAATCGCCGGTAATCTCCACTTAAAATACAATTTATTCAGAATCAAGAAATTTATATTTTCTTATGTTAATTGATGAATATTCGGAAGATACCTAGTATATTCTCTACATTACAAATCGGGTATTTGAGAGTGAACAGCCCCTCGGCTACTGGTATAAAAATGTATAAAATTAAATTTAAAACAATAATTTATTTCGAGAAATTGAAACAAATGACAGTTAATTTTAAAATAAAAAACTTATAATAATTTATTTCGTAACCAATGTTTTTATAATCGAAACGTTCAGTTCTTAATTAAACTTGTACATAATTAAGTGATTTGAAGATTTTAGTAAACCATCATACTCTATAACCAAAGTGAAAAGCAACTTTAGTTACGTGCTGCTTATTTAATCCATCCATTTAAATATTTAATAATAATTTAATTGAAATTTCAAATTTACAGCTGATTGAGTACTTGAAAAATAACCCCATTACTATTTTAAGTCATTTTGAAAAGAATGGTAACTTGTCTAATGCCATGAAATCAAAATTAGTGAGAACTATTTTAGACAGAGAAAAAAACCGAGTTTTGGGAGCAAATAACTTTCAACCTTTAGACAAATTTTGGTACGAATTATTTACATTGTTTATAGCATTAATCGGAAGCAGTTTTTGCAGTGGGCAGAGCAATTAGGTCGACTGTTTGGAGACAATTCTGAAATTTATTTTGTGCCACACAGAAGTGTAAATAAAATTAAGTTGAATGCAACTGGAAAGTTGTGGGAAAATTTCAACCATATTAAGAATGTTTTACGTAAGGAAGGTCTTTTAAAAACCAAGAGGGAGTCGGAAAATGATGTTTCCGAAACTGAAAATAAGCTATTAATATTATTTTAGGAAAAAATTAAAAAGAAATTTCAGATAAACTATAAAAAATAGAATCGTTTGATGCGCAGTAAACGCTGCGCTGCGCAAGTTAAGTGTATATGTATGAGTAAAACACTGCGTCACGAAACTAACCTGATCCAACCGGCAAACGGAAACAACAATGCCGTGAGTGCCATGTGTGGTTTTGTATTCTACTTGATATTGGCTTTTAATTTAATATATCTTCGTTGTTTTATAAATTATAAATCTGATAAAGTGGTTTTATTCCTGATCGTAAACCTCTGCTACGTAAGTATATTTCTTTTTATCCTTTAAGCAATATTAGCATGTGAATCACACAAGTGCGCGAATTAATAGATTACTTCGAAGTCATAATTAATTGATTGGATTTGTAGTGTATACGAGTTAATAAGAAGATCATAGTTGGAGTCTTTTTTTAAAAAAATAATAAATTTAAAAAATTCGTATGTTCATAATTCAAATCTAGCCGCACACGTATTGTAAACGTATCCGCATAGTGAGGTTAAGGTTGTATCTAATATTTTATCGGTTGCAAGTGTTTATTTGTCTACAGATCATGGAATTGTTTCAATATAAGGTAAAAAGTGTTAATTTTTAAAAACGGATGTCGTTTTAAATATATATTACCTAATCAGTTTATAATGGCAAGTTATTAGGCCTAAGTTATGTGTCAAAGTTTATGGTTTTTTCCTTTATTAAATTATTCTGTAAAAACATATCCCCCGTTGAATTATTGAATAATTTTTACTTTCTTTTACTTTTATAGGATCAGTTTACACAAAGCTTCCTATTCAATCAACCTATTCCTCACAGAGTAATAGAATCTGAGTTTCACACTGTTGTGAATAACCACGAAATATGGAGAGAGGAAAATAGACCCTCTTTACTCGATTTAACTTTTTCATCGAACACCAGCAATAATGTAGCAGAATCTTCTGCTTCTGTAGAGGTAATTAAAACAGTTTTTACTAAAATTTTTAATCAAAAAATATTTTTTTAAAAACAATTTCTAGAGTGCTATACAAAAAAGTAGTTTTCAATTTTATTCAGTGCTGAGTGTCTCTGGATTTCTGGAAGTTCAAATGAACACAATTTTTTTCTCTTTACTAGGTTTTTTTAAAAATAAATTTCGACCGATTGCCTTGAAATTTTTTGATTGATTTATAATCTATATTCATTTTACCTGGATTTATAAAAAATTATTATTTATTTTTAAGTTTATCAGAATTTAAATTTATTTATTGTTTCTTATGGCGAAATATAATTAATAATAATATTAATAATAATAATAACATAAAAATTGAAATGTACGAACATAAAATTTGAAAATATTTTTTAATATTGTTTTTTTTAAATTAAAGCAAAGACAAGAATTTCAAAATTTTCAAAATGAAGTTCAATTTCGGATCCCACCAATTGAAAATCAAACTTCAGTTCAACCATCTGAGGAGCCAACTGTAAATCAAAATCTACCTCAACAAACTTCAAGAGATCAATTGAATTGTGAAAAAGAATCACGTCTCAGAGTATGTAAAAACGTTTTAGTACATTCATATATAGTTTCATATAATGATTACAGTTTTATAATTTATATAAAATATGTTTAATATAAAAAAATATAAATATTATTTTTATAATTTATAAACATGAAATTTATAGCAAATACTTTTTTGTTTAGAAATTAACAAACTTACTAGGGTCAGAAGGTGATTCAAAGATTATTATAAAAGCTTATGATGATCATGGTTTTCTGTCCGAAAGAGCAAGACAGCTTATAGTACGGGGTTATTTTCGCAAAAAGGAGTCTCAGTTTATGAAAAATTATCATGGCCAGCCGCTGGACTGTTGGGTGTAAGTGTCTTATTGATATTGAATTAGAAAATTAAAAAATTTATTCTACGTAATTTTATTTTCTTAATTAGTACTTATTTACGAAGTATAGTCTTATACCTTGTGTGCTGATGTCTTATTATGTATATAACATTTTCTAATTGTTTAAATAGAATTTAAAATGAAGAGTTGAAAAGGGTGGCTTCAACAATTAAACATTTATTTCCCACTAAATGTGCAGCCGCATATTTTACTGAATTTCGTATGGAAAATGGAATAAGATTTCCAGGAACTGTCAAGCTTCGTAATTTATTTGAATATTTAAAAGGACATTTAAGGGCACAAGGCATTTTCAAATCAGTTAAATCTCACTTAAAGGAACAGAACACAGCTGTTAATACTACAATACTCTCTAATAAATTATATATTACGTTTATTCTAAACAAATAAATTTAATTAATGCTTATTTTCAGATTCTATGACAGAAAGAATTAATTACTTAGAAATCCATTCTGACGTTCCGGAGACTATAAAACTCTACTGGACAGAAACTTTTCAAATCAGGCAAAATTTATTAAAAATTGAAAATGTAACTGTTGATGATTATCTTGAAAGATTCAAACCTTTACGAGTACAGCTGGGACAAGAATTGGTAAAGCTTTTAATAATTTATTTATTTAAACCATTGAGTTATTAAATCCGGTTATACTTGACTGTGCATTATATTTGCTGTTACAGATTGAAGTAGATTTTAATTTATTACCTCCGAATAAGGAAAAAATTTTTCTTGAGAAGTGGCCGATATTAAAAAAATATTTTTTAACACATTTAAATTCAGTGAAATTGTTAGCAGCGGAGAAAAATTTTCTAGAATTGTTGCCGACTTTAGAAGAAAGTAAAAAACGCCTCATTACCTATAATAAAATTTAACTTTGTTTACTTTACATATGTCCAAATATATATAATTATTTTTGTAAAATTTGTAGACAGCCAAAATGCAGTTATCTTTTACTTGATACGAAAAATTATTCCATGCGCTAAAGGGAAAAGGAAGCGGAAACGGATCAGTGGCGAACAGGGAGATGATGATGAACATTCTAACGAGAACACAAATTTAGTTGCGGATATTGGAGCAGTGGAAGACTCTTTTCGAAATTCTAATAAAGATATTTATAGAAGTTCGTATATGTTGCAAGTACCAGTAAGTATATAAAACAAATTTAATTTATTAAATATTTTCTCTCTATTATCAAAACATTACACCTTTCTCAATATATTTTTACATCTTTGCAGTAAATATTTTTGCATTTGAACATTAAAAAATTTATTTTTATTTTTTCAAAAAGGAAAGTATTTTAATTAACACACAATGCCTTAAATTTAGATGTTATGTATATATTAGAATATTCTAAAATTATTCCAATTCATAAAGTAATTATTTATTTGACACTTTGTTGTAGACTCCAAATGAAGAGGATGCAACATTCGAAAAATTAAAAGATGTTTTCTATAAAGAAAAATTAACAGTGCAGCCCCTTACTGTTGTGGTCGGATCAATAGTAAACGTTCAACACACCTACGTTGTTATTAATAATGTGTGGTATAAAACAGAATCGTTTTTAAATTCAATTGCTCTAACATTCAAAGCATTTTGTGCTTTTGACTGTGCATATCCCAAAAAGTCAAAGAACCTTTGGCAGTTTTTACAAATTGCAGCTTTTGAAGTTACATTTCCTAATGAAAAAATTGCTATTGCAGTAAAAACTCATACTAAGCAATTTAATTTGAGACCCACGAATGAAAGTTAACTTTAAATATCTTATTTAAAGTATTTATTTATTGTTTCAAAATTATTTTTACAGTCTAAAAAGTAGATGTCTTTAAACGTTTCCAAAACTAAAATACAATTAAGATTTTTTAAG